GAAACGTCAGGACAATAAAACTCTTGTTCCAGTGATCGCTTCTTCTTCTGAGCTGCTTCCTGGAACTCGGATATTCTCCTCTATTGGCTATGTGCATTCAGTTTTGACATCTCAGATAGTCGTCGTTCATTTGAAGTATATTGCATTTCTTCGGTGCATAGCCAACGCAGCAATGAGTAAATGTGTACCCTCTATAAGTCAGGAGAGGTTCAGAACAATAAACAGCGATCGACTTGACGAAATTTCAGAAAACCAACCAAGTGCACATTTAAAAATTGGGTAAGTACGATATGGTTTGATACATAATCGAGGTTCGGTGCGTTGGGGGTGGAAACTCGGTGACTACTTGAAAATGGCGTGAGTGTCTACCTCGAAATACACATTTAACAGAATGCGTATGCCGCTGCGTGGGCCATGCCTCGAAAACTAGCTACCCACATCGTTCATGCCACGAAGTTCGTTGACAGTGGCACGTCCTTGCAGCCAGCAACTACAATCACGGTTTTCAAGCAAGCCCGGTGTACTGTTGACAAACTATCACGGACAAATGTCTGATCCAGAGAAGCAGGTGAGTCTAGTCCGGAACTGCCGATAAGGGACCTGCTTGTCAGCCTACTTACGTAGCACTTCTACAGGCGGCTTTCTATCAAGGCCTGCTGCGAAATAAGCAATTGCTTGTTATTAGCAGGGATTGGCAGATTTGAATAATTCAACTGAACCAATCACGAAAAAATTCGCGGCCTCGATTGGATTCTAACCCACATCAACAGGGGGTTCGAATCCCATCGAGGTCGCGAATTTTTTCACGATTGGTTTAATTGAAGTGCTGGTCGCACAAGTCAAGACTTGGCGTTTTAGCCTCGTAGTTGGAGCAGATTTAAAGAAAACCACACGTGTGCATATCAGGCTAAATAGACAAGAAGCATAAAATAGATCGGTTTTCAGATGCACGAAACCCTACTGCGCGCCTAGTAGTCCTCGAGCGCGAGTCAGCGGAAATCATATGACCGTTCACCGCTCCACTTCGGAGTTCTGGCACTTTGTCAACCGCTAGGCGCCACACAGCTCGATGAGCTTGTCTCCAGAACTGATGCCGCTCGCTGGGTTTTCTCAATCCCCCTCTAAAGCGCCCATGGATCAGATGCGACATCTTCATTACCACGCAGATCCATGTGTACCCTGCATCCGTCCGGTTAGTCCTCCTCCTCTACGGTTGTGAATACCGGGCTTTGCCTGTGGAAGATGAGCGAATACTGGGGGTATTTAATGGCCGCTGCCTGAGGACCATTTCAGTTCAGTTTTATTTAAAGGGAAGATAGGCAAACGCCTTTGAGTTCCCTATTGGTGACACCATAACCAAGAAATGCATCCGTACAGCAGAAGCATTTCTTGGGAATAGAACCTTGGCACATTGGCGACGGGAAATTACAAGAGTTCGAGCGAAGTACACTGACTTCGTCTCAAATGAGACGGTCCACACTCGCCTCGACAGTATCATGAGGATATATCAGGCCATCCAAGAAAGACGACTAAGGTGACTTGGGCACGTTCACTGTCGTCCGCCTCATGAGCTCTGTTATACTGCCCTCGATCCGGCGCCACTGCCTATCTGGAGACATCGAAAAGGGCAAAAACTTAAGACCTCACCCAATACAGCTCATAAAGACATGAAAGCTGTTTTTGGACCTTCGGACCTTCAGTCTCTGTCGCTAGAGAAGAGAATGGGTTGAGCTTTCCAGATCCATCGCCACAAATCATCACGCCTGAAGAGGTAAAATCCTTGACATCATCGAAGCCGGCTGGAGCAGGCATGATTACAGCTGTATGAAATACAAGTACAGTCTTAACTTTTATAATTTTAGGATAAAGGGCCGTTCAAGCTCCTTACCACTACTAGCCGTATCAGCTACCGACAGTTTCGGTCTGGCCGGCTTCGTAGAAGTTCCAGAACACACAGTACAGGCGACGTTTAAAGTGCCGTCTGGCGTCTTAACCGTAAGTCGAAGTCAGCAGGTGATATCTTGGCGGGAACTCGCTTTATGTCAAAATACAATTTTTAGGCAGGCACCTTTTTATGTGGCCAAGCCTAACTGTGGTTACTTGGTTAGTTTTGGATTATTTTTTAGTAAGTGAGAGCAGGTTGCAAAGTAATGAAAGCAGGCGACTGAATTCCACAAATAAACCCGCAAAGCGATTCCTGTGATATGCCTTTAAGTGTAGAGAAGAGAGCACTTAATGAAAGCAAGCGGGGAGTGGGGCAAATTGAATACTCTGCACCAACGCAGACCACATATGCGTGAATATAAGCCGATTTTCGGTTGGTAAACAAGAGCACTTAATGCAACTTGCCTGGAGAAAGGCGTTTTGAACAGAAGGCGCAGGACCCACCAAAGACCGTGTTGGAGGGGTCGCCGGTTTTGAACTCACTGACACCCGGAAACATGCTGGCTAGGTAAGTCT